TAATTTTGATGATTACAAATGACAACAAATGAAAATCTCAAATTCATCATATCAGAAAATTAGAATATTACTGAAGACCAATAAAAACAAAGGATTTATAGAAATGTTGGCCAACTGAAAAGTATGAACATGAAAAGTATGAGCATGTACAGCACTCAGTATTTAGTTGGGCCTCCTTTGGCCTGTATTACTGCAGCAATGCGGCGTGGCATGGAGTCGATCAGTCTGTGGCACTGCTCAGGTGTTATGATAGCCCAGGTTGCTCTAATAGTGGCTTTTAGCTCTTCTGAATTGTTGGGTCTGGTGTATTGCATCTTCTTCTTCACAATACCCCATAGATTTTCTATGGGGTTAAGGTCAGGAGAGTTTGCTGGCCAATTAAGAACAGGGATACCATGGTCCTTCAACCAGGTACTGGTAGCTTTGGCACTGTGTGCAGGTGCCAAGTCCTGTTGGAAAATGAAATCTGCATCTCCAAAAAGTTGGTCAGCTGCAGGAAGCATGAAGTGCTCTAAAACTTCCTGGTATGTGGCTGCGTTGACCCTGGACCTCAGAAAACACAATGGACCAACACCAGCAGATGACATGGCACCCCAAACCATCACTGACTGTGGAAACTTTACACTGGACTTCAAGCAACGTGGATGAAGTGCCTCTCTTCTTTTCCTCCAGACTCTGGGACCTTGATTTCCAAAGGAAATGCAAAATTTACTTTCATCAGAGAACATGACTTTGGACCACTCACCAGCAGTCCAGTCCTGTTTCTCTTTAGCCCAGGCAAGACGCTTCTGACGCTGTCTGTGGTTCAAGAGTGGCTTGACACAAGGAATGCGACAGCAGAAACCCATGTCTTTCATACGTCTGTGTGTGGTGGTTCTTGAAGCACTCACTCCAGCTGCAGTCCACTCTTTGTGAATCTCCCCCACATTTTTGAAGGGGTTTTGTTTCACAATCCTCTCCAGGGTGCGGTTATCTCTCTTGCTTGTACACTTTTTTCGACCACATCTTTTCCTTCCCTTCGCCTCTCTATTAATGTGCTTGGACACTGAGCTCTGTGAACAGCCAGCCTCTTTAGCGATGACCTTTTGTGTCTTGCCCTCCTTGTGCAAGGTGTCGATGGTCGTCTTTTGGACAACTGTCAAGTCAGCAGTCTTCCCCATGATTGTGTAGCCTATAGAACTAGACTGAAAGACCATTTAAAGGCTTTTGCAGGTGGTTTGAGTTAATTAGCTGATTAGAGTGTGGCACCAGGGGCCATCAATTTTGAACCTTTTCACAATATTCTAATTTTCTGATATGATGAATTTGAGATTTTCATTTGTTGTCATTTGTAATCATCAAAATTAAACAAAATAAACATCTGAAATATATGAGTTTGTATGTAATGTATGAATATAATATACAAGTTTCACTTTTTAAATGGAATTACTGAAATCAATCTACTTTTTCATGATATTCTAATTTTATGACCAGCACCTGTAATTTATTCTGCATCAGGAGCTTAAAGGTAGGAAAAAAATGGGGAAAAAATACCTGTTTGTTTTTTTAAATGACCTTTTTCTGTCTGATGTTCAACAAAGAAAAGACAAGAAATAATGCTGCAAACATAACTGTGAGTAGATGTTTATATATTAGCAGGTGGCAAAAGCAGTAAATTTCTAAAGCTCAATCCCTCTAATGGGATCTGACTTAAAATACACCAAAACTAAAAGGTTATAGTGAGACTGGTATAGAGAAGCCTGGTAACAGCGTGAAGCTGGATGGATGAAGGAGGCCAGTTTCATCCAGTCTAGACCATCAGAAGAAGCTGGATGGTCACTGTACAGGGTTCATTTTAGTTCTGCTTTGCATTGAAGTCTGTTGGTGCAGACCTGCATGGCTCTGAGTCCACCAGACTAATCCTGCTGCAGAGAGAGAGTCCAGGATGGAGACGTTCATCCCAGATCACTGTGAGACAGCTGGAGTTCCTCTCCTCCAATAGAGGGGAGCATTCTTCATGAGCTTCAGGTGTTTCATGTCAGATTCAGTTCATCTGGATGTCTGCGTGGACTCTCACCGAATGATGAATCCAGGTGTGCCTGACCTCAGTAACCATGGCAACACACCTGAATTCATCAGTTCATCCAGCACTGAAAGACGGAGGAGCTGCCTGATGATCAGGAAGTAGTGCAGTGCTGCATAGAGCCCATGGTCCAGTGGGGAAAGTTTTTCAGCACAGGAGGAAGGAGTTTGTTTCTCCTTGACCTTCTAAGAAAGAAGATGCTGCTGAAACCTGAAGTTTGGAACAGACTCCACCTCTTCCCTGTTTAGAACCACGTTCTTCCAACGAGGTTTCAGAGCTGGCAGGCCTCTCAGCTCTGCCATCGCTCTGTTTATAGGGGGTCTGTGAGTAAAGGGGTAGTCTTTGGCAAACGGATCGGAGGTCCCCTCTCCTGGGTCCCAGATCAGGCGAATACAACCTGAGCTGTTAACTGCTGACACTGCATTAGTGGAATATGAATGTTTCCAATAACCAGGAGCTCCATGTTCCAGTGGAAAACATCTGCTGCCTCATTCCGCCTGGGTGTGATGGCATTTCAGTTGTCAGCAGTGACTTTAAAGCCTCCTCTAGTGAAGTTTCCACTTCCAGCTGACGTGTTTGGGAGTCCAGGACGCCGTACAGACTGCTGGGCTCAGGCAGGGCCTTCTGCGGTGCCCTGCTGACCCACATTTGGGTCTGAAACAAAGAACAAGATCCTGGATCTGAACGACTGAAATAAGCCTCCTCCACAGGATGGCCAGCTATGCTTGGAGTCACTGCCCATCCACATGTTGCTCAAACTGAACTTTTAAACCGCAGGATCTCTGATGAGATCCGACTGCTCACACTCTGCAGTCCGCTCTAAATAAGTGGCTCTGGTTGGACTCATCTACAGACAGAGAAGAAGAATAGTTCCCTTGCTTGGACTCATCTGCCTGTTCAACAGTTACAACTGTTGATAGAGATGGTTTTTTATTTATTTTTTGAGGGAACAGTGGAGGAGTGCAGGAGTTAGCCCTGCAATCGGAGGGTTGTCGGTTCGAGCCCCCGCTCTGGCTTACAGTGTCGTTCAACAGGGGCAGCATTGTCTAAGGCAGAACTAGCAACCCTATCAACAAAATCATCCATCTGTAAACGGGAATAAACGAAGCTTCTGCACTATTGCTCAGTGATGCAGAGGAGATATTTATGCAATCAGCTGGTTTTCCTTAGATAGAAAACTTTGGATCAATCTGACTGGATGATCTGGTGAACTGGAAAGTGACCTGAGATGACATGATGTGAATTGGAGCTATAGAAATAAACTGAATATAATTAAATCTATTAAATCACAGGATGGCTCTTGGTGGTTAAATTTGGAAACCGTTGCCAGTAGGGCCGTTGCTCGCTTGCAATGTTTTTCTGCACAGATCTGCCAACCTGTCTGCATGGAGGGGTGCTGATGCTAAAAATGAATTAACATGCAGATCTCAAGCATAAATAGAGCTATAGAAATGCTTAGCATGATGTTAGGTTTAGTTTGTTTTAAGTTTTTTAATCGATTTTTTCTAAACCACAACAGTAAAAATGTTAAAACATTAAAATTTCCTCTGTCGTCTGGCAGGGATTTGGATAAATCAATTCTTATAATCGACTCCTTCCGTGACACTTTTCCAGTTCAATGACGTTTAACTGGTGACTTCTTAATGAAATGTGAATGATTTGCTAAAAGGTAGAAAACCGATTTAGAAGAAAACATTTGGATTCAGCACTGGATGCAGGGATGTCAGGTGTTTTCATTCAACTCCAACCAGACGGGCAAAGAGGCAGCGGTTAAAGGAAGAGGTGGAGAACAGGAAGAAAGATGCTCTTCTCTAGAAATGTCCCGTTCACTTTAAGAATCTCCCTTAGTGACTCTGGCTCTAATTTCTATGTTTTCTGATCTTTGTTGCACCAGCTGGGGTAGAGCCTTCAGATCAGAGCAACTTGTAGTCCTGCGTTCCCTTTCTGAGGGGTTTTCCTCACCGCTTTCATCTGAGCTAGACTCAGCTCCCCTTCAGGTCTTTGTCCTCTCAAAGTGACCAATCTGTTTTATGTAGTTGTAATATTCAGCTCTGGGCTCTGCGCCTGTTGCAGCCGTGTTCATGGAGACCAGCTCAGAACACACTGCACCACTCCTCCTCTAAGCCCTGCAGATGTTTCTCCTCCAGTGGTTATGGAGAGCAGAACCATCCATGGCGCCCTGAACTCTGGCTGTCCCCCCTTTGAAGGCTCCCTCTGCTGCAGCACTTTTCATGTTTCCCTTCATTAAGACGGTTTTATTTAAAAGAAAGAACTTTTCATTTCTGTCTCATCTTCAGTTTAGAGCTCTTTCAGTTGGATACTTTCTTGTTTTTAATATCTATCCATCTCCATGTAAAGATCTAGGCTGTCTGTGTCTCTTCTCATTGTGGAAACATTTATTTTACTTTGAAAGAACTTAGTTGATCAAATGACCTTTAAAACCTGACAGGGAATCACATCAGCAGTAATTATTGGTATAGACAGACTCTAATCCAAACTATTCAGATATAAGCAGAGTGAGAAAAACATTGCTACAGGAAGTGGTGGATAGATCTGTGTGCATAGATCATATCATTTATTACTGCAGTTAGTGAAGTATAGCATGTCTCCTGCTGTGGTTGGAAAACGTTTCCTTTCCATCGGGGTTACGCCTGTGAGAGGCGTCCTAGGAGCAGGAAGCCTTTCCTAAGGACCACTGGAAGGGAGGGACCAATCAGCACCAGCCTGCTCTTCCTGCTCCCATCATGCTCTGCTAGGAACGAGCTGGTTTGGTCAGAAAGAAGTTTGTTGGTTTTAGAAGGTTAATCTGGATGCAGATCCATCATCATATTTCCCAGTTCCTCAGTGGAACATCAGTGAGTTTAAATGTTTTTTTCTGCTGTTAATCTGATGTTTCTTTGCAGTGGTCTAAGTTTCCGGTTCCTTTTTCTGCTCTCAGATTGTTCTCCACCAAATGCAGCGGCTGCCTGGAGCACATTGCTCCTACAGAGTTAGTAATGCGCGCTCTGCAGAGCGTTTACCACCTCAGCTGCTTCTGCTGCAGCATCTGTGGGCGCCAGCTGAGCAAAGGGGACCAGTTTGTGGTGAAGGCAGGTCAGCTGCTGTGTAAGGCCGACCATCAGATGGAGGGAGCCAGCCCTGAGGCCTCAGACTCAGGTAGAACTGAACCTTTCCTCTAAATCGGGTTCTTTATTTGCTGTTTTTGTGTGAATCTGAATCTGTTATATTTAATCAAGTGATGTTTGATGTGTTGATTGACAGAAAAGAGTGAAGAGGAAACTTTGGATGTTAAGTTAGCGAGGAGAAGCAATGACAGTAAAGATCCTCGCCGGCCTAAGCGGCCGCGCACTATCTTGACCACACAGCAGAGACGCGCCTTCAAGGCTTCCTTCGAGGTCTCCTCCAAGCCCTGCAGAAAGGTGAGGCCGGCCTGCTTCTCTTCCTGAACTTTGCCCTCCCTCTGAAAAGGCGTCTCCGTGTCACAGGGTGGAGATTTTTCTGACAGCGCCTACTTTCCTCATCATTTCTGGTTCTACTTTCATTCTAGGATTTGTGCTGTTTGTCTCTGTTGGATGACATCATCATAGCTCTGAATAGCTCCCTGACTTCCACTGTCCCTCCACACTGACCGTGTCCCGCCTGCTCTTATTTTGAAATGAGTCTCACTTCCTGTCCGGCCCAAACAGTTTTTAGTTTCCTGTAATCCATCTATGCTGCAGAGCTGGTGGGAATCACTGCATTCTGTTTGTGACAGAGTGAAACCAGCTGATTGCATCCAGTTGCTGACTTTTCAGGATTCTCTCCTCCTGGATCTGAGTATATTAATCTCACTGTATTGATCTCAGTGAATTAATCTCAGTATATTAATCTCAGTGAATTAATCTCGGTGTATTAATCTCAGTAATCTCAGTATATTCATCTCAGTGTATTAACCTCAGCGTATTAATCTCAGTGAATTAATCTCAGTGTATTAATCTCAGTGAATTAATCTCAGTGTATTAATCTCAGTAATCTCAGTATATTAATCTCAGTGTATTAATCTCAGTAATCTCAGTGAATTAATCTCAGTGTATTAATCTCAGTAATCTCAGTATATTCATCTCAGTGTATTAACCTCAGTGTATTAATCTCAGTGAATTAATCTCAGTGTATTAATCTCAGTAATCTCAGTATATTAATCTCAGTGTATTAATCTCAGTAATCTCAGTGAATTAATCTCAGTGTATTAATCTCAGTAATCTCAGTATATTCATCTCAGTGTATTAATCTCAGTAATCTCAGTATATTAATCTCAGTGTATTAATCTCAGTGAATTAATCTCAGTGTATTAATCTCAGTAATCTCAGTATATTAATCTCAGTGTATTAATCTCAGTAATCTGAGTATATTAATCTCAGTGTATTAATCTCAGTAATCTCAGTATATTCATCTCAGTGTATTAATCTCAGTAATCTCAGTATATTAATCTCAGTATATTAATCTCAGTGTATTAATCTCAGTGAATTAATCTCAGTGTATTAATCTCAGTAATCTCAGTATATTAATCTCAGTGTATTAATCTCACTAATCTCAGTATATTAATCTCAGTGTATTAATCTCAGTATATTAATCTCAGTGTATTAATCTCAGTAATCTCAGTGAATTAATCTCAGTGTATTAATCTAAGTAATCTCAGTATATTAATCTCAGTGTATTAATCTCAGTGTATTAATCTCAGTAATCTCAGTATATTAATCTCAGTGTATTAATCTCAGTGTATTAATCTCCTTAATCTCAGTATATTAATCTCAGTGTATTAATCTCAGTAATCTCAGTATATTATTCTCAGTGTATTAATCTCAGTGTATTAATCTCAGTAATCTTAGTATATTAATCTCAGTATATTAATCTCAGTGTATTAATCTCAGTAATCTCAGTATATTAATCTCAGTGTATTAATTTCAGTAATCTATAGTGTGGTAATCTCAGTGTATTAATCTCAGTAATCTCAATATATTAATCTCAGTGTATTAATCTCACTGAATTAATCTCAGTAATCTAATGTGTGGTAATCTCGGTGTATTAATCTCAGTGTATTAATCTCGGTGTATTAATCTCAGTATATTAATCTCAGTGTATTAATCTCAGTGTATTAATCTCAGTGTATTAATCTCAGTATATTAATCTCAGTGTATTAATCTCAGTGAATTAATCTCAGTGTATTAATCTCAGTAATCTCAGTATATTAAGCTCAGTGTATTAATCTCAGTGTATCAATCTCAGTGTATTAATCTCAGTGAATTAATCTCAGTGTATTAATCTCAGTAATCTCAGTATATTAATTTCAGTGTATTAATCTCAGTAATCTCAGTATATTAATCTCAGTGTATTAATCTCAGTATATTAATCTCAGTGTATTAATCTCAGTGTATTAATCTCAGTGAATTAATCTCAGTGTATTAATCTCAGTAATCTCAGTATATTAATTTCAGTGTATTAATCTCAGTAATCTCAGTATATTAATCTCAGTGTATTAATCTCAGTATATTAATCTCAGTGTATTAATCTCAGTAATCTCAGTATATTAATCTCAGAGTATTAATCTCAGTGTATTAATCTCAGTAATCTCAGTATATTAATCTCAGTGTATTAATCTCAGTATATTAATCTCAGTGTATTAATCTCAGTGTATCAATCTCAGTGTATTAATCTCAGTGAATTAATCTCAGTGTATTAATCTCAGTAATCTCAGTATATTAATTTCAGTGTATTAATCTCAGTAATCTCAGTATATTAATCTCAGTGTATTAATCTCAGTATATTAATCTCAGTGTATTAATCTCAGTAATCTCAGTATATTAATCTCAGAGTATTAATCTCAGTGTATTAATCTCCGTAATCTCAGTATATTAATCTTAGTGTATTAATCTCAGTAATCTCAGTATATTAATCTCAGTGTATTAATTTCAGTAATCTATAGTGTGGTAATCTCAGTGTATTAATCTCAGTAATCTCAATATTTTAAATTTCCAGTGTATTAATCTCCTAATTTTAATCTCAAAACTAATTGTGGTAATCTCGGTGTTTAATCTCTGTTTTAAACTGGGTTTATTTAATTCAGTATATTAATCTCAGGTATAATCTCAGGTATTAATTCAGTTTTTTAACCCAGTATAAAATTTAAAATTATTAATCCATGAATTAATCTCATGTATTAATTCTAATTCAGTATATTAAGCCAGTGTAAAAATTCAGTGTATCAACCCGGGTGTTTTTAATCTCGGGAAATTTAAAACTCATTTTAATCTCATAATCTCGTAATTAAATTTTTCAGTGTATTATTTCATAATCCATTATATTAATTCAGTGTTTTAAATCTCGAATATTATCTCGGTTTAATCTCAAAAATCTCATATATTAATCTCGGTTTTAATCTCAGTATTAATCCCCGGGAAATTCGTAATTAATTTTTAGTGGGGTATTAATCTCAAAAATCTCAGTATTTTAATCTCAGTGAATAACTCATTTTTAATTCAGAACTCAGTAATTAATTCCAGGTATTAAACTCAGTAATTCAGTGTTAATTTTCAGTTATTAACTCAGTGTTTTAAATCCAGTAATCACAGTAATTAATCTCATTATTAATTCAGTGTATTAAAAATTCAGTAGTTATGGGGGGTAACCAGGGTATTAATCAATAATCTCAGTAATAATTCAGTGTTTTAAAATCCATTTATTAAATCTCATAATTCAGTTATTAAATCTCAGTGAAATTAATTAGGTATTAATCCCCTTTAAATCTCGAAAATTTTAATCCATGTATTAATCTCAAATTTCCGAAAAAGTAATCTCATGAATTAAATTTCCAGGGGTATTAATTCATAATCTAGTTTATAAGTGTGTATTAATTCATAATCTCGTTTATTTTCCCTCAGTGTTTTAAATCCATGTATTAAATCTCAGTAATCTTATATTTTTAAAACTCAGTTTTTAAAATTCATGTATTAAAGTAAATCTCAGTATATTAAACTCATTATTAATTTCGAATCATAGTGGGGAAATCTAAATTTTTAATCGTAATCTCAGTATATTAACTCGGTATTAATCTCACGAATAATCTAAAATTAAATGTTGGTAATCTGGGGTTTTAAAATTTTCCATGTATTAATCTGGGTTTTTTAATTCATATTTTAATCTCATTATTAATTCAGTGTATTTTCTCAGTAATCTCAGAAAATTTTAATCCCGTGTTTTTTAATCTCGTGAATTAAATCTCTTTTTTAAATCTCAGTAATCTCAGTATATTAAGCCGTGTTTTAATCCAGTTATCAATCTCAGTGAAATTTTCTCAAATTAATCTCAGGTTTTAAATCTCATAATCCAGTATTTTAAAATTTTCAGTGTATTAACCCATAATCCTATATTAATCTGTGTATTAATCTCAGTTAAATCCATGTTTTAATCTCAGTAATCTCAGATTTTAAAATTAAAGGTATTAATTCAGTGTATTAATCTCCGTAAACTCAGTATTTTAATCTTAGGGTATTAATCTCAGTAATCTCGATATTAATCTCATGATTAATTCAGTTTTATTAATTCCCAGTAATCTCAGTAATTAATTCATGTATTAAACTCAGTAATTCCATTTTTTAATTAAATTTTAAAAAAAAACTCAGTAATATCAAAAATTTTAAATCTCATGATTAATCTCATGTATTAATCCTAACCATATATTAAACTCAGTGTATTAATCCGGTGTATTAACCAGATCATAGTTGGTAATCTCTTTATTGTCTCAGTAATTTTCCAAAATTTTAAATCTCTTTTGATAATTCCCATGTTTATTCTAAGTAATTAATCTCACTATCTAATGTGGGTTAATCTCGGGATTAATCCAGTGTAAAAAATCTAAGGTTTAACTAGTAATCTAATGTGTGGTAACCCGGGTTTTATTAATCTCATTGTTTTAATCTGGTGTTTTAATCTCGTATATTAAATCCTTGTTTTAACTCATAATTAACTGGTTTATTTCAGGGTATTAATCCATAATCTCAGTATAAAAATTTCTCAGTGTTTAATCTCATTTTTAATCTCAGAAAATTCATATTTTAAATCTATGTTTAATCCATGTTTTAAACTCAGTAACTATTTGGGGTAATCTCAGTGTATTAATCCAGAAATTAATAGTGTGGTAATTCGTGTTTTATTCAGTAATCCAGTTATTAATCTCATGTTTTAATCTATAAATTTTAAACCATAACTAATGTGTGGAAATCTGGTTATTAACTGAGTGTATTAATCCGGTGTTTTAAAACTCATGAATTAACTCGTAATTAATGTGGGGTAATTCGGTGTATTAATTCAGTGTTTTTAATTGGGTTTATTAATCCATATATTATTCTTATGAATTATCTCGTAATCTAATTTGGTAATCCGGTGTTTAAACTGAGGTATTAATCTGGGGTGTATTACTCAAAGTGAAATAATCTCAGTAACTAATGGTTAACCAATTTAATCTCGTTATTAATCTCTTAAATTAATCTGTAAAAATAGTGGTAATCCTTTTTTAAAATTCTAAATGTATTAATCTCGGTTATTAATCTCAGTATTTAATCTCATGTATAAATTCTGTTTTAAAACTCAGAAATCTCATATTTTAATCTCAGTGTATTAAACTCAGGTTTAAATCTCAGGTTTTAAATCTCATATCTCAGAAATATTAACTCATTTTTAAAAATCTCATGTATAAATCTCAGGTATTATCTCATAAATTTAAATCTCATGTTTTAAATCTCAAAAATTCCTTATTTTTTCAGTTTTTAATCTCAGTGACTCTAATTTTAACTCAGGTATTAATTCAGGTTTTAATCTCATGTATTAATCCAGTTTTAATCTCGTAACTAGTATATAATCCCAGTGTATTAATCTATGTTTTAAATCCAGTGTATTAATTCAAAATTCAGTATTTTAATCTCAGAGTATTAATCTCAGTGTATTAATCTCCGTAATCTCAGTATATTAATCTCAGTGTATTAATCTCAGTAATCTCAGTATATTAATCTCAGTGAATTAATCTCAGTGTATTAATCTCAGTAATCTCAGTATATTAATCTCAGTGTATTAAACTCAGTAATCTCAGTATATTAATCTCAGTGTATTAATCTCAATGTATTAATCTCAGTAATCTCAGTATATTAATCTCAGTGTATTAATCTCGGTGTATTAGTCTCGGTGTATTAATCTCAGTGTATTAATCTCGGTGTATTAATCTCAGTATATTATTCTTAGTGAATTAATCTCAGTAATCTAATGTGTGGTAATCTCGGTGTATTAATCTGAGTGTATTAATCTCGGTGTATTACTCTCAGTGAAATAATCTCAGTAATCTAATGTGTGGTAATCTCAGTATATTAATCTCAGTGTATTAATCTCACTGAATTAATCTCAGTAATCTAATGTGTGGTAATCTCGGTGTATTAATCTCAGTGTATTAATCTCGGTGTATTAATCTCAGTATATTAATCTCAGTGTATTAATCTCAGTGTATTAATCTCAGTAATCTCAGTATATTAATCTCAGTGTATTAATCTCAGTAATCTCAGTATATTAATCTCAGTGTATTAATCTCAGTAATCTCAGTATATTAAGCTCAGTGTATTAATCTCAGTGTATCAATCTCAGTGTATTAATCTCAGTGAATTAATCTCAGTGTATTAATCTAAGTAATCTCAGTATATTAATTTCAGTGTTTTAATCTCAGTGATCTCAGTATATTAATCTCAGTGTATTAATCTCAGTATATTAATCTCAGTGTATTAATCTCAGTGAATTAATCTCAGTAATCTCAGTATATTAATCCCAGTGTATTAATCTCAGTGTATTAATCTCAGTGTATTAATCTCAGTAATCTCAGTATATTAATCTCAGAGTATTAATCTCAGTGTATTAATCTCCGTAATCTCAGTATATTAATCTCAGTGTATTAATCTCAGTAATCTCAGTATATTAATCTCAGTGAATTAATCTCAGTGTATTAATCTCAGTAATCTCAGTATATTAATCTCAGTGTATTAAACTCAGTAATCTCAGTATATTAATCTCAGTGTATTAATCTCAGTGTATTAATCTCAGTAATCTCAGTATATTAATCTCAGTGTATTAATCTCAGTGTATTAATCTCAGTAGTCTATAGTGTGGTAAGCTCAGTGTATTATCTCAGTAATCTCAGTATATTAATCTCAGTGTATTAATCTCAGTAGTCTATAGTGTGGTAATCTCAGTGTATTAATCTCAGTAATCTCAGTATATTAATCTCAGTGTATTAATCTCAGTGTATTATTCTAAGTGAATTAATCTCAGTAATCTATTGTGTGGTAATCTCGGTTTATTAATCTCAGTGTATTAATCTCGGTGTATTAATCTCAGTATATTAATCTCAGTGTATTAATCTCAGTATATTAATTTCAGTGTATTAATCTCAGTGTATTAATCTCAGTAATCTCAGTATATTATTCTCAGTGTATTAATCTGAGTGTATTAATCTCAGTAATCTCAGTATATTAATCTCAGTGTATTAATCTCAGTGTATTAATCTCAGTAATCTATAGTGTGGTAATCTCAGTGTATTAATCTCAGTAATCTCAGTATATTAATCTCAGTGTATTAATCTCAGTGTATTAATCTCAGTAATCTCAGTATATTAATCTCAGTGTATTAATCTCAGTGTATTAATCTCAGTAATCTATAGTGTGGTAATCTCAGTTTATTAATCTCAGTAATCTATAGTGTGGTAATCTCAGTGTATTCATCTCAGTAATCTCAGTATATTAATCTCACTGTATTAATATCAGTGAATTAATCTCAGTAATCTAATGTGTGGTAATCTAGGTGTATTAATCTGAGTGTATTAATCTCGGTGTATTAATCTCATTGAATTAATCTCAGTAATCTAATGTGTGGTAATCTCGGTGTATTAATCTCAGTGTATTAATCTCGGTGTATTAATCTCAGTATATTAATCTTAGTGTGGTAATCTCAGTCTATTAATCTCAGTAATCTATGGTGTGGTAATCTCAGTGTATTAATCTCAGTAATCTCAGTATATCAATCTCAGTGTATTAATCTAAGTGAATTAATCTCAGTAATCTAATGTGTGGTAATCTCAGTGTATTAATCTCGGTGTATTAATCTCAGTATATTAATCTTAGTGTGGTAATCTCAGTCTATTAATCTCAGTAATCTATGGTGTGGTAATCTCAGTGTATTAATCTCAGTAATCTCAGTATATCAATCTCAGTGTATTAATCTAAGTGAATTAATCTCAGTAATCTAATGTGTGGTAATCTCGGTGTATTAATCTCAGTATATTAATCTTAGTGAATTAATCTCGGTAATCTATAGTGTGTTAATCTCAGTATATTAATCTTAGTGTGGTAATCTCAGTGTATTAATCTCAGTAATCTCAGTATATTAATCTCAGTGTATTAATCTCAGTAATCTATAGTCTGTTAATCTCAGTTCTCCCCACCACTAGTTAGAACTTTTGAAGCCTCTTGATGAGAGAAGAAACGTTTTTAGAAAACAGTTTCCTTAATTGAACTTTTAAAGTTCAGTTCTGCTGCTGCTGATCCATGACTGAGATTCTCAGTAAATCCTTCCCAGCATTCCCACTAACTGATTTATGTTTTCGAGCAGCAACTGGGAACTCCTTATCTGGGATCTTAGTAGATCAGTTGAAGAGGTGATGTAAGCTCTGAGCAGCATGGAGACTAACACACTCACACACTCATCTCCACTGTTTACTCAACATATGAAGGGCACGGCGGGGGCGACCCAGTCTGTGGTCCTCCAAGTGGCCGTCACAGGTTGGACCTTTGCTGCAGGACGTCCCCGTCTCTAATCACATCGCCAATAAAGGCCAGAAGACGAAGTTCATGCTATAGAGCTTTACCCACAAACCTGCAAAGATTTAAACAAACTTGTCTTGATTATTCGGATGTTCTGGTGAAAGAAATCAGGTTTCAATGCTGGGAAACTTAAAGCTCCTTAGTTTAACCGCAAATTAAGAAAAAATGAAGTTAGCAGATAAAACAAAGAATCCTCAATAGAGGTTAAAAGTTGTACTTTAGTATTAAAACAGTGTGAAAATAAATGCAGGTCTGTGGGGCGTGAAGTCTTACAGGATGCTGTAATCGTCTCCATGGTAACGGCGGTCGGTGTGTCTGAGGCTCTTAGCGCTCTTTCTTCAGACCGCCGGCGTGTCTCTACATTCTGAGGAGGATTGTTTATTTCTTTCCAACAGTCCCAGAGAACATGACGCCGGCGCACGCCTCCGGCGTCGTCCATCGATGCCTCCATGTTGTTCTCCTTTGCCTCCTTCATTCTCCTGCTTTCATTCTTGTGCTGATTTCAAGTTCTACAGTTTCTGTGTTCTATGCTTTCAGAAACAATTTAATTCTCTCTTTATTTTTCATTTAGGTCTTTTTAAAGGGAAGCGGTTTTCCTTTAGGTTGTTTATTTGTTGGTAACTTAGGAAAAACTGAAAGATTTCATTTCTCCTCTATAAGAATGATTCCTAGAAATGAAATGTGTGAAACTAAAGCTGTTAAATTGGATTTCCAGGTGAGAGAGACTCTGGCTGCAGAGACTGGCCTCAGCGTTCGTGTTGTCCAGGTCTGGTTCCAGAACCAAAGGGCAAAGGTCAGTAAAGTTCACTATTAATGACGTCAGCTCTGAAAAACCAGCCTGGTGAACTTTTATGTTTCTGGATATCAGTCATCAGAGGCTTAGTTACATATTTGATGACTCCAACTTTTTCCTCTCTTTTTCCTCTCTCTTCTCTTCTTTCTCCTTCCGAAAGTTTTCTCCTGCATTTTGCCAAAAAATACTTAAATGTCTGAATCCGATCGGTATCAGTTGAGCCCAGTAGATTAAACATTTCTAATCTGCCATTTGCTCTGTTTGCTGGTATTTAGGAGGAGAGGCCTGCCAAAGTCTGGCCAGCCAAAAGGTGTTTTACTCCAGTCAGCAAGCAGTCTGTCAGCAGGGGTGTTCAGTTGCTCCTTAGTTTCAGTCTCCAAATTTTAAATGTCTGCATCTCTACTTCGCCATGGAAGAAGTGGAGATGCAGACGGCTGGTAACGAATCAGAGCCTGGACCCGTGTTTGATGCCTGGCTTTGCTAAACCAGGCTGGAACCGTTTGTGTCTCTGTGTTTGTTCCCGGACAGATGAAGAAGTTAGCGCGCAGACAGCAGCAGCAGCAGCAGCAGCAGCACGGCAGTCACAGGCTGGGAGCAGGTAGGATGATCATCACATGATGTCACCAGAAATAACACTGGAGAAAAATGACCCTAAATATACAAACAAGTCTTTCACTCTTCATTCCTTTTAGGAAATGAAAGAAATTTATTTTTCAAATCACAGGAAATTCATGGATTTTTGGATTTTAAAAACACTTCATTTAAACAATTCAAACAAAAAATCAATTATTGATGTAAAACAAAGTTAGTTAAAAATCACTATTAAGATAAAAACAACTGTCAGCTAAAAGCCATCTTTGCTTCGCTGATTAGATGTTAATTTAAAATTTTAATTAATTTAAAGTGTTAATTTAAAATTCGGGCCTTTGGCTTATTGCTCCTATCCTGTCCTATAAAAAGATGTTTGTAAACCTGTGACAAAAAGACTAAAAACACGAATTAAATACAGGAAATGATTGAATTTATCATCATCCATTTTCTCCTGCTCAGTCAGGGTGGCGGTGGGGGCGGGGCTTATCTCCAGCAGTCTATGGGCGAGAGGCGGGGTCTGCCCTGGATAGGCCGCCAGTCTGTTGCGGCGCTATATTTATCAAATACATTTTAATTTGTAATAATTTAACAGGACATGTTCTTATTTAATTGTTCATTTTAGAATTTTGATAATATTATGGAATCTGTATTTAAATCGTTTCTTTTTTTTTATGAAATATTCAATAAAAAATTTGTAAAATTGTCTTTAATTATTTTAACGGATCACATTATTATTTCATCTATTTATGATATTTATAATATTTTGTCATGTTTTAGGCAAATAAAAACGGTTAAAATAACCAATAATTAAATAAACCTAAATTGATTTTAGATCATTTAATTATTTAACTGTGTAATTTATTTATAGTTTTACAGTAGATCTAAAATTGAACCATGTTTAGATTAATGCTGAATGCTTTCATGGTCCATTTATTTATTTTTGGAACTGCTGCATGTTAAGTCCCCCCCCCCGCCGTTCTGCTGGGGAGCAGCCATAAAATGGAAGCCATGGTGTTCCTCCTCTCCGCTCATCGGGCTTATTGCCACCGTGGGCTGCAGCGGATATGAGCAGACAGTTTAGATAAGCGTCTCACTGCTTTGGCAAGTGCAGCTTCTATCTGCTCTGGGATTTGCAGCGTGTCAATATTGGCAGAGCAGCAGGGTTTATTGCAGCGGAAACTGCTGCTGATAACCAAATGAGAAGAGCAAACCAGCAAACTGTTTCAGGCTGAGGCTAGAATAAACTGGGGAAGCCATGGAAACCCCTCTTCAGCTTTACATTCTGCATCGACTGTATAATCTGACTGGTCACATGTAAACTGAGCGCTGCAAGCGGCCGATATTTAACTTCTTATCTATAGGTCATGTTTGGGTTAGATGCTCATCAACTCCACACCTCAGAATAATCAGGAAAAATGTTATAAAAAACTCAATCATTATTTAAACTGTAAGAAGATGGCTTGTTTTTAATCACATATATTCTAACAAATATTTTATTTATTGTTCAGTATATTTGCTTCATCACATTTAATTCATTCTCCTATAACCTCTAAACAGCGTCTGTAAGGCCTGACAGAAACCTGGCAAAGGAGTCGATAGGCTTTTATTGCTTATTTTGAATGCTTTTTATTTTATGATATTAAGGATAGAGGCATAATTTAACCCAACTCTGGCTGCAGCATTTTGGATCAGCTGAAGGCTTTTAACTACAGTTTGTGGACTTCCTGATAGTAAAGAATTACAATAGTCCAGCCTTGAAGTAACAAATGCATGGACTAGTTTCTCAGCATCACCCCTGGACAGGAGATTTCTCATTTTTGCAATGTTCCTCAGATGAAAGAAGGAAATTCTAGAAACCTCTTTGATCTGGGATTTAAATGACAGGTCCTGATCAAAAATAACACCAAGATTTTTTACTTTATTATCTGAAATCAGTTTAATCCCATCCAAATGAAGTGACTGGCTAATCAGCTTCTTTTTCAGAGACTCTGGTCCAAAGACTATAACTTCTGTTTTGTCTGCATTCAGAAGCAGAAAGTTAAGAGTCATCCAGGTTTTTATGTCTTCAAGACATGCCTGTAATCTATGTAATGGGTTAGCTTCATCCGGATTATAGACAGATATAGCTGGGTATCATCAGCATAACAGTGGAAATTAATCCCATGCTGTCTAATAATTCTACCAATTGGGAGCATGTATAAAGTAAAGAGAATTGGTCCTAGCACTGATCCCTGTGGTACTCCACAGGTAACCTTTGAGCGTGTTGAAGATCTATCATTAACATGAACAAACTGAATTCGATCAGATAGATCAGATTTAAACCAGTCTAGTGCTGTTCCTTTAATTCCAACAAAATATTCAAGTCTTTCTAAAAGAATATTATGGTCAACTGTATCAAATGCAGCACTAAGATCCAACAGGACGAGCACAGATACAAGTCCATTATCTGAGGCCATGAGAATATCATTAGTGACTTTCACCAGAGCTGTTTCAGTGCTATGATGAGCTCTAAAGCCAGACTGAAACTCTTCAAAAAGTTCATTATGGTGGAAGTGATCGCAAACTTGTTTGGCAACTACTTTCTCAAGAATTTTGGATAAGAAAGGAAGATTGGATATAGGTCTATAATTGACCAAGTCATCTGGGTCAAGAGACGGTTTCTTAAGCAGAGGTTTAATTACAGCAACCTTAAAAGCTTTAGGTACATATCCGTGTAAGGCCTTCCAGGCCAAGGACCCCAAACTGATTATATATATGGTCTGAAATAGTGTTCTATCAAACTGGTTCTATAGTCACTCTATTACAGATGGAGTAATGTAACTAAAGTAATTTCTCCCTGGGATTATTAAAGTATTTCTGATTCCTGGTTGATGGGACAGTTAAGGTTGTCACGATACTAAACTTTTCAACTCGATACAGATACTAAGTAAAATATTCGATCCTCGATACCCTTTTCGATACCACAAGAATAAAAACAAAGACTCTAAAATTCAATAGAAATATTTTCATTACTAAAAAATAAATAAATAAAAAAACAATAAGAACAATATTTTGAGGTTGTATGCTGTGCACAATATTAAGCAAGCTTGATAAAAAAACTTACAAAATTAAAATGAAGTTTTCCTTCCTTGGCTATGCTTTGCAGATGTTTTTCAGTCTGAAACTGAAAAATGCACAGAATTATTCAATCACACAGAGTGCAGAAAGTGCATTTTCCACTATTCTGCACTTTAGATGGCTGTATCAATACTTTTGAAAATGAGTATTGTATCCGGATACGTTTCAGTATCAATACATTTTTGGATATTGATACTTTTGACAACCGTAGGGACAGGTGTTGTGAATGAAACGGTGTCCAGCTTGAAAAAGCTCCTGTGTGTCTCTGAATGTGAGCATTGATGCCTGAAAGACATCTTCTGCCTCCATTTATCTGTTTACTACAGTCTGTTGGATTCATGTTCCTGTGGATTTAAAGACATTTCAATTAGTGGGAAAAATTGGAGGGGGAACCCAGAAGGGTCGCGGACCCTCTGTCAGCTACCATTAAATTAGGTAAATGGTAGCATATAGTTATTTTATCTGTATGCATATAAATGTAAATGCTGCTTTCTCTGTGGATGCTGATGGGGAGGGGGGACCTAGTGGTCAGGGCATAGAGCTTGGAATCCTGAGGTTCTGAGTTTGAATCCCACTCCCACAGACTGCCACTCTTGGTTCAAGACCCTTAACCCCACCCTGCTCCCCGGGCGCCGCACAATGGCAGCACTGCTCCCCAGAGGGAGGGGTTAAATGCAGAGAGGGAATTTCATTGCTCTGAACTGGTGACAGTGGAATGACAATAAAATGCTGGAAAAAAAAGCTGATTATGATGGTGGAGATGAAATTGATGCACTTCTGTCCTGTTTATGCTTGGCCAGTGGATCCAAGGTCAAAGGTCAGAGGGGTCTGGGTTGGTTTGTTGTTTATTTTGTTTTTCTTTTTTTATCTTTTGTGGTCAGAGGGATGGAAGGAGACATGGAGCAGAAAGTGGTGAGAAAAGCCTTTCTGTTTTACAGGGGAACAAAAACATGATCATTAAACAGGGTTTTACTTTAAAGACCGATGTTCCAGCTGCCATCTGCTGTCACAGATATGTGGCCTTGCTGGCAGCTTCTCTGTTGGCTAAAACAGAACAGAAACCAATGTTACAGTTCCTGGAGAAGGCTGAGTAAGGTAGACATGAGGCTGAGCTGTTATTCCACCCATCTGTGCCCCCTGCCTCACTTTATCAGAGACATCATTAAAGCTTCCTTACATCTTTCAGGCAGCTTTGGGTTTCAGACATGGTTCACAGAAGTAAGCAACAGGCATGGTGGGCATGGCCACAAGAGCAGGCTGAGGCCGGGCAGGAGCAGAGCTAGGAGCAGACATGTCATGCAACATGGAAATGATTTCTGTCATGCCTGTGGAGTTATTGACATTTGAACCGCTGGTGGTTGGTCAATGTATGACCAGAGGTTTCTGTGAGGAACAGATGGACTGACGACCTGAGAGTTCAGCAGCACAGGAACTGGAAGCACTGGAGAGAGAGGTCAGTGACTGGGATGAAAAAGAGCCGCTGACCTTCCAGGGACTCTGCTGGAGGCCTGAAGCCAGGAGCGGAAGCAGGGGGATGATATTATCGCAGGTGACAAGGAGTTACGACATACAGGCTGAATTCAAATCCAGCGGCTGTGTCCTCAGCAGGCCAGATTCATCAGCTGAGGACATCATAGTGTGGCGTCGAGGTCTGGTCAGATTCTAAGACTCCTCGTTATGCAGCCGTTAAATATGTCCTTCTTTTTGCCTGATTTGAAGGACGGGTTCGCTGTATCCTCCGTAGCCTCGGGTATCCCATGATTCATTAGTCCAAGCAAGCCGGCTGCTCCATGATCAGAGGAAAAAGGGAAATGGTGCAGAACAGTGGTGAATATTGGATGTTCAGCTGAATATAATCCAGTCTGTGAATAGTTCCGTCTGAAATGAATGAAAATAGTTGTTTTAATGGTTATAGAGTCAGATATGTGGCGGGTAATGTTTGATTTATCTAAAGGTTTTTATCTGTTACTGTGTAAATGGGTTTGATTCTAATATATCTGCAGTGTGGGACTATAAATCTGATAGGATTTTTATTTTTTAATTGTTGTTTTGCCTAATTTGCTTAATTAAGCATTTTTTGTTGTTTATTATAAGATTTTGCAGACATATTTTTCATACATGAGAGACGAAAGGAGAAATAATGAGTTTGGAGTGTGACTGTTTGAGGCTGTGGACAGGTGTCTTTTATACAGATAACAGGTTCAAATAGGTGCCAATAATACTGGTTAGTAGTGGGGGATAGAAGAGCTTATTAAAGAAGAAATTACAGAAATCTTGCTGGTTTGTGGGAGACCTAATATTTATTTTCCACCGTAATTTACAAATAAATTCTTTAAAAGTCCTACAGTGTGAAATCCTGGATATTTTTTTCATTTTTCATCTCTCATAGTTAAAGTGTAGCTATGATGAACATTACAGACCTCTCTCATTATTCTAAGCAGGAGAACCTGCACAATCCGTGGTTGACTAAATATTTTTGGCTCCACTGTATAACTATTAGTGTTGTGGGGCCCCGATCCATCTCTAAAATGGTGGTATCAGTATCAGTGAGTACCAACCAATAGGGCTCCGATACCATTTTGAGAGCCAAAAGTTTCTTCAACTATTGTCACCCATTCCAGGTAGGCAGCAGCTTGACGAAGCCATGATGGCAATTATTTTACATCCTAGCCGGATGCAGTTCTTCATAAATAGACACACATCAATTTCAATCAGATGGTATCGGCCGATGCTGCACAGCCAGGTATCGGGGCAAAAAATGGTATCGCCGCAACACTAATAACCATGCGTCCCTTAAAGTTTTAGGGAAGTCATATTAAATGTCAAATCATTCTGGCTTAAACATGTATACAAATGTACTCTATCAGACCATATTGTCCAAAATTTAGAACATTTCTATAAAAAAAAAAAAGAACTTTTTGTGTTTTTGTTTTTTTTTCCGTTATCTTCTGCAGGCCAGTTAGTATGTCAGCCTGAACACCTAAATTGGGCGAATCATATATCAACGGTCATCTGTCAATCATATATATATATTTTTTTTTATCATAGCATCTTGATTCATATGTTGCAGCTAATATACGCAACGGTTGAAATAAGAATCTTCGTTCTTGTGTGTTCTTGATAAGAACAGAAAATTGTGGACTAAGAGAGAACAGAAGAGTACTGATGACATCACATTCAAAGCTGTCTTTATTTAACCTCCTGTTATTAATAGTCTCTAGATAATAATAAATTATGACTTTTTTTATTTAATGGGGGAATAATAATGAACACAGTCAGATAAACACAAATCAAATTAAAATTTTGTCAAATAAAACAAAAATATCGCCATCAGAGCCAGCGGTCCTTCACACACGGCTATGCCGAGAGAGGGCCGCTGCAGACGGGCTAACGTTAGCCCTGGCCGCTGCAGACGGGCTAACGTTAGCCCTGGCCGCTGCAGACGGGCTAAAGTTAGCCCTGGCCGCTGCAGACGGGCTAAAGTTAGCCCTGGCCGCTGCAGACGGGCTAACGTTAGCCCTAGATGCTGAGGACGGGCTAACGTTAGTCCTGGATGCTGAGGACGGGCTAACGTTAGTCCTAGATGCTGAGGACGGGCTAAGGTTAGTCCTGGATGCTGAGGACGGGCTAACTTTGGCCCGTCTGCAGCGGCCAGGGCTAAAGTTAGCCCTGGCCGCTGCAGACGGGCTAACGTTAGCCCTAGATGCTGAGGACGGGCTAACGTTAGTCCTGGATGCTGAGGACGGGCTAACGTTAGTCCTGGATGCTGAGGACGGGCTAACGTTAGCCCTAGATGCTGAGGACGGGCTAACGTTAGTCCTGGATGCTGAGGACGGGCTAACGTTAGTCCTGGCCGCTGCAGACGGGCTAACGTTAGCCCTAGATGCTGAGGACGGGCTAACGTTAGTCCTGGATGCTGCAGACGGGCTAACGTTAGCCCTAGATGCTGAGGACGGGCTAACGTTAGTCCTGGATGCTGAGGACGGGCTAACGTTAGTCCTGGCCGCTGCAGACGGGCTAACGTTAGCCCTAGATGCTGAGGACGGGCTAACGTTAGTCCTGGATGCTGCAGACGGGCTAACGTTAGCCCTAGATGCTGAGGACGGGCTAACGTTAGTCCTGGATGCTGAGGACGGGCTAGGATTAGACCTGGCTGCCATTACACTCGGAGCTCCTCTGGTTGCCGCGGTCCTCTCAGCTTGAGAGCTTGAAATTGAACGCTTGAAACTGATTTATGGAACAAAAGTAACAAAAAAGAGAACTTTTAACTCAGTACTCTGAGCTCTGTGAGCGCTCCATTGAACGGAGACGGAGGAGACTCATCCACGACCTCCGACACTAAACTCTCCTCCTCTTGCATGTTTCGGCTGTCCATAGCGTTCCTTGACAGCGTCGTTTCTAAGGCACCAATTTAGTGCTACTTGGTCCCAATGGAATTTCCCATTGGGAACCTGCTAGCACTAAGATGCTAACTGGTTAGCAAGATGCTTCCTACAAACCGGCTACAACCAAACTTGCTTGCAAACCTTCTGCCACAACAATCCCGCCCCCTTGATAAACGACCAATCACATTCACTTTACTCAGTCGTGTAAAGTCGAGCATCACTAGGGAGAATTCTGAAATGCAACGGTTGGAACAGCTGATTTCCTACGACTTTATAATAAATGCTTCACTGTAAACGTTGTGTACTATGGTTCATACACATTGACAAACATCCTAAAACCCACACAGCTTCCCTACATGAAGCGAAGAGGTGAAGTATGAAGTCGTGCTCTGAGTTTCTGTGTCTCTTCTTTCAGAGATGTTGTCTGGCTGTATGGAGAGCCTGCTCAGCACCTTCTCAGGACCGCTACCTTCAAGCAGGCCTCAGCTGGAGACCATGAAGCACAGTGGGTACAGCATGGAGCACTTCAGCCAGGGCCTCACTCCCCCTCAGATGCCTGGAGATCACATGAACCCCTATGGTAGGCAGCATGAACACTCTGCTCATTACTGCTGTAGAAAAGGCCTTCTTAATTATTACAACCACCTCAGAATTGTTTGACTCTCCTGATCTTCTGACAAAGACTAGCAGTCATTTCTGCCCAGTCCTCCTGACAGGACTGAGATCAGGGCTTCCCAGAGTCTATTCCACTCATTGACTGTTTTTAGCTGATTTAGAGCTGCTCCTGTCTGCCTGTCTGTCTGTCTGTCTGTCTGTCTGTCTGTCTGTCTGTCTGTCTGTCTGTCTGTCTGTCTGTCTGTCACAGCCACAGAAGTAGTTCCTATACAGGCAGTATTTTAGCATCATCAGTAGCCTCTTTAGAATGCCTTATTTGGTTGCTTTATTCAACAGACTAATGGTCCACAAACAGATGATACTCTTATTTCCGTTGTATTAGCCATTATCATTGTCATTTTCCACTTCACCCAGAACGGGTCACGGGGTGACTCCCAGACTTCCCTCTATCCAGACTCCTCCTCCTTCTCCTCCCAGGCCAGCAGACACAGTCCCTCCATGGTGTCCTGGTTCTCCTCCTGGTTCTCCTCCTGGTGGGACGCCCCTGGAACTCCTCAAAGGGAGGCGTCCATCAGATAAAGATGATCCTCAGCTGACTCCTCTGGAGGAGAAGCAGCTCTACTCTGAGCCTGATGACCCAGCTCCTCACCCTCTCTCTGAGGGAGAGCCCAGCCTCCCTGCAGAGGAAGCTTGGATCCAGGATCTGGTTCTTTGGGTCCTGATCCAGATTAATGACCATAGGTGAGGGAAGGAACGTAGATCAAACCTTAAATCAGAGCTTTGGCTTTTCTCTCAGCTCTGAACCACAGCAGACGGAGCAGCGTCTGCATCAAAGCTTCCGCTCCATGCTTCCTTCACTCCTGAACAGGACAACAAGATACTGGAACTCCTTTACTGGAGGCAGGAATTCCCCCCCAGCCTGAAGAGGACCAGCCACCTTTGTCTGGCCCAGAACCAGAACCACGGTCTTGGACATGGAGGAGTTTCATGAGAGTTCATCCCATTGGGGAGCAGTGGGCTTCATACTTCGTATATATCCTGGAAGCTGCTGCTGCTGCAGTGCATGCTGGGACAGCTGTCAGTCTGGATAACAGACAAGTCTGCTCTGATGCATGCTGGGTAAAGAGGGAGGGGCCAGAACAACATCTGGGGACTTTGTCCGTTCTTGTTCTTGTGAATTGGAACAGTGCTAGGGCTGAGGCTGAAGCTCTAGGTCTTCCACACTTTCCTGTGTTCTTCTCAGGAACGTACTTGGGAGGACATGACTCCGTATTTACGTTCTAGTGAACGGAGAAATGGCCATAGATAGAGACTGGAAGAGGAGCTCTGTACCAGCATCAGTCTGTTGCTAAGGAACATGTTAGGTCATCAGAGGGAAGGTGGGCAGTTAAACGCCGTCTAGGTTTGCTTTGAACCTGTTCTGTTTTCTGTGCTTCGCCTAGGTCTGGACACCATCTTGCTGGACATGGACAGTGAAACCTCGCTGACCAGTCTGAACGACTCCTTCATGGCCTTTCAAACTGGAGGCTTCATACAGGAACACGGAGGAAACCCAATGGACAGCCTCTGCTCCATGCAGAGCTCCTACTTCGCCTCCTGAGGCCTGATCATTATGGCGTCCTGCACCTGAAGAACCAGAGACTGAAAAGATCTAGAAATAAGGTTCAGTTTTCTGTCTGTTTAAAGATCATCTAGAGATTCTGGTTTTAAAGCATAGTTCTGATTGAAAGGCCACTAATGGCCGACATCCCTCAGACCATCAGGCCTGACTGATCAACCTATTTCTATTTAAATGTAAAGTATGAGATGTCATTTCCACATTCAAGAGAAACTCAGTGTTCTTTTCTAAAATAGGTTAGATTCTATGTCAGTATTTATATTTTAAAAAATTATGTTTTTTTGTGAAGTACGAAGGAGCCTCAAACTCCTCCTATTTATTTACGTATCTGAACTGTTGTAATGTCTGAGATATATTGCTGCACAGCTACTGTATTTATTTGCTTTTTTGTGATAATAATGAATTGTGAAAGAGTCATTGATCCTAAATAAACTGGGTGTTCTGCTCGGCCTGCTTCTCTCCGTTAACCAGAGCGCGGTGGGCGAGGCGGAGGCACTCTGCTACCGTCACGCCTGGATGCAATCATCTGCTGCTTCTTAGGAGCTGCAGTCTGAACCTTTAATGTCTGATGGTCAGCACTTCCTGTTGGAATAAAATCGAAATCCTCATTTCTAATCATTCCTGTTTACTCGTGTTTTCATGTCTTCTCTGCCTTCAAGCCCCCGATGCCTCCGGTCAACATTTACCTGGAAATCTCTGAGCCGCAAATATCCAGTTCAGTTCGAATCAAAGGGAAATTAAACGTTGCAGTAACTCCTTATACGTTTTACCTTTTTTCTTATTCATTGTTATAGATGTTGATGCTGCGGGCAGAAAGGATCTCCTGTAGAGGTCTGTCTACTGCCTCTGACTGAAGACCTTCTGTTGGTGTTTAAAAAGGAAACTATAATTATCTTACAATGATGCTACAGTAATGATTATTAGTTGAACAGCGTATCTGAAGGGAGGAAAAGAAGTGGCCAAAGCAGGACTCAGTTCACCTGCTCTGTTCTAACTTGCAGCGCTAACTTCTGTTTTGTTCCTGGGAACAGTTTGGTTAACAAACAGATAAAAGCAGTCCTGGATCCGCCTAACGGGTCTGTTTCATGAAGCAGGTTTACCGAAAACTACGTTTTCTAAACCTGAAAACGGAAACTCTGACTTTTCCGTTTCACAAAGACAGTTTCCTCATCCTCTGTTTCTGTTGCCATAGTAACATCCTCCCAGCGCTAACCTGGGCAGCAGCAGGTTTCCTTCAGTAAACTCAGTGTCCTCTGCCTCCGCTCTCCTTACAGCCAATCACGCTGCTTTATTTCCTGATTTAGTCAGATTTTTATTGTAGTTTTGTGCATAAAAAATATACAAATCATCATTAGGTCCGTTAGACAAACATTCCATGTCTGTTTGACGAAGATCTTATCAAAGAATGAGCTGCATCAATTCACAGAGCATTCAATATTTATAAGGAGAGGATTCTACAGCTCAGTGACAGGAGAGGAGATTACTGGTTACGATTTGTTTAATTGAGTGAGATGCAGATCATTTAATTTTTATTTAGTTATATTTACAGTAAATGAAGAACTGATCAGATTACACATAAATAGATTCATTAATTCCACGGGAGAAAAGGAATTATTCAGGATTAGGATTGACTCGATAACAACCTGATGAGCCTACTGGAACAATCTGAAGCCATTCTATGGGACTGATAACTGCTAATAACATTATTTATAGCTGCCACTAGAGGGAGCTACTACTGCTGTTGGTGAGACGTATCGTGTTCACTTCCTGTTTGGACTGTTGAACAGTGTTGTTGCTGTTCATTCTATCTCTGTCTGAATTAAGTTATTTTCTCTGTGATATCTCTGTATCTAAGTAACTCTAACTGACTACTTTAAAACATAGCACCTTCTGCTGCACTTTTCTACTGAGCACTTGTCAGTTTCACACGGTTTTATTTCTGATAGCAAGAAGTAGCTAGCCTAGGCTAGCGCTAGCTTAGCATTGCTATGGCTTCTCTCTCTCCCTCCCTTGACTCTTTTCCAACTCTTCCTTCTTCCTCTCCTCTCTCCTGCTCTCTGTGTCAGATGTTCAGTTATTCCTCTGCCTCCTTTAGTGATAATGGGATGTGTAATAAGTGTAGTATTTTTGTAGCTTTGGAGGCGAGGGTGTCAGAGTTAGAATCCAGGCTTCAGGCTGTTGAAGTAGGCCCCCCACGTAGCTGTCCTCCAGCAGTGCCTGAGCAGCCAGGCGATTGGGTAACTGTACGCAGAAAGCGTAGTCGTGGATCTCTGCCCACTGGTCACCACCAACCCGTTCACGTTTCTAACCGGTTTTCCCCACTCAGTGACACACCCACTGAGAAGCCCACTCTGGTGATTGGCAGACAGTCTCTTGCCCACGACCAAAATCTAATAAATTAGCAAAGATTCCCAAAGGAGTAAATCATGATAATCTAATTAAAATCAAAATAACTCCAATTGGGGAAAAAGTTAAAACAATTAAATGCGGTCTGTTTAACATAAGATCTCTTTCCTCTAAAAGTCTACTAGTTAATGACTTGATTTGTGATAATCACATTGACTTGTGTTGCCTTACAGAAACCTGGCTGCAGCAAGAGGATTATGTGAGCATAAATGAGGCAACTCCTTCAAGCTATTTAAATTTTCACATCCCCAGAAGTTCTGGGCGAGGAGGAGGAGTAGCAACAATCTTCCAGTCTGACTTACTGATTACTCCCAAAACAATTAATTCCTACAACTCTTTTGAACATTTAACCCTTAATTTCCCTGATCCAAATTTCAAGGCAAGAAAACCTCTTCTTTTTGTAACTTTGTATCGTCCACCAGGTCCTTACTCTGAATGTTTAGATGAGTTTTCAGAGTTCCTTTCTGATTTGGTATTAAATACTGACAGGGTCATCATAGTGGGAGATTTTAACATCCATGCTGACATTGAAGGCGATAGCTTAAGAGCAGCCTTTAATGCTATCTTAGACACTATTGGCTTTGTTCAAAATGTGAATAGTCCCACGCATTCTCATCTTCATACTTTGGATCTTGTGCTGACATACGGCATAGAATGTGAAGAAATAACAGTATTTCCTCACAACCCTGTCCTCTCTGACCACTTTCTAATAACCTTCAGGATTACTTTAACAGAGTTCTCCTCCCCCAAAAGAAGGTTCAATTTTAGTAGATCTTTATCAGATAGTGCAGTTATAAATTTTAAAGAATCTGCTTCACTTTCTCTCTCCTCTGTGTCACTGAGCAGTGCTGCAGAGTGCAAAAGTTTAGCTTATTCCCCTTCACAGGTTGATGATTTTGTTGATGGGGTTGCTAGTTCTCTGCGTATTGCCTTAGACAACGCAGCTCCTTTGAAAATGAAAACCGTTAAAAATAGAAAGCTTGCTCCTTGGTTTAATGCAGAGCTGCGTACTTTGAAGCAAAATTCTAGGAAACTGGAGAGAAAATATCGCTCCACAGGCCTGCGGGAGTCCTTCCTAGTCTGGAAAAATAGTTTACTAGATAAGATAAGAAACCGAACACTCAGAGTTCCCGACTTTAGGCTGGATCCATTTAGAATTGAGGATTTTAATCTGAATTTGTTAAACCTGCTTCATTAAATGGACCCCTGGAGACCCCTGGAGTACGTTTCCCTATTAAAAACAGAAACACTGTTTCTGTAAAACAAACCGGCTTCCAGGTGTTACCAGTCTGATCTGTCAGGGGTGCATGTTTTTCCTACTGCAGCTTTTCATGGATAACGTCTGAGCCGGTCATAGATCATAAAAAGCACAAAAAGTAAAAACATGTTCTGGTTCTTTTATGTTGCTGACATGAATCTCACTCTAACAAATGATTTAAACACATGGTCTGTTATTTCAGTTGACTTTCAAAGTACTACATCCCCAATCTGCTCAATAAACCCTTTATTTTGATTCCAACTCGTATCCAATCAGTTCAACTGGACGTTGAAATGCAGAGCCAAGATTTTAAGCAACACAACCATGTTGACGGTTACATTCATGATGGCTGCGTACAGAAACAGCCCATTCTAACTTTGAGTCTTTTAGCAGCGCTTTATTGACCCACCTTCACACATGTGTTTCATTTATCCTCAAAAAGAAGAAGAAGTTACATAATAAACAGCAGAAAACCATCCAACTTTATTCAAAGTAGAGCTCAACCAGCTAGAGAGATAAAATCAACCAAGGTATTCAAACTGGCTTTAATTAACTTCTCTGTCAGGTCATTCATTTCAATCAGTGACTTAATTACTCAGAAAAAAAAATCTGATTTTATTTAATAAAACACCAGGATGGGACTTTAATAAATTCTTGTTTCTCTTTGACTTCCTGGTCTAAACTTCTCCTCATCCTTGTGGCACTAATGCCTGAAGGCAGAAAGCCGCTCCTCCGCCTGTCCATCATTTCCTTTGGTCTCTTCCTCTGCTCTGTTTATTAGCTGCAGGTGAACACAGGTGGAATAACTGGATTTCTTCCACCCCGTCAAGCTGCTAATTGCTCTATCTTTGCCAAACAATTGATCATAAAAAAGTTACGCCTGAGTTTGTCACCAGATAAAGGTTTGTGCTTTGAATTCAGTCAAGTGGAAGATACAGGGACAGATGTCGCCGGCTCACTGAGCACAATAAAACCTGCCGACCAACAAAGGCTGACCTCAGGGTTACATGGAAACACTTCCCAGGAGATTTACAGGCCGACTATGCCCTGCTGTCTCTTTCACGCAAAAACACTCCACACTGGTCGACATTCTGGTAGTGGTGTCAAAAGTACCAACATGTGTTACTTCAGTAGAAGTATAGATACTGCAGTTTAAAAACACTCTGGTAAAAGTTGAAGTATCAACTTGACCTCTTTACTCAAGTAAAAGTGAAAAAGTATGTGCTCCAAAAACTACTAAAAGTATAAAAGTATAAAGTAACCTTTAAAAAAACCAGCCAGATGCCGCTATATGAATTGAAAACTACATTTTTCAACTATTTCTATAAATTCTGTGAGATAGGGCCCAGGATGAGGGAGGTCTTGTTGGTCTCCGTCTCCCGATACGCTCTCGCCTGTGTCCGACCTTTCAGACATTTCAACATCTTTTTCTTAATCCCACATTGTAGCATGGCATAGACAATTCACGTTAGCAGTTTGAAGAACACCTGCTAGCTTCTGATGATTTCCTTTAGCTAACCAATGAGTGTTTGCGTTCTATGACTCATCCAATCACACTAGTTTTCACTAGATGTGGGCGGAGCCAATGATCTGCATTGGATGGAGCACATGACGGGAAATAAATATTTAGAAACATTAAACCAGAGGAACCAATTATAAATCAGTGGGTCTGAATAAAGAAAATCATCAACCAGTAAAGGTCCAAAGACATTTTTAATGATCTGTTACTTTAAACAGAATTTAACACTGAAATAAAATGAGGTTTTTATGCATCCATGATATACATTACATTTAAAAAAATAAATATATATATACTATATTCATTTTAAAATCTAAAGTGTTTTTTGCAGTAGAGAACAACAATCGTTCAGTTTGGTTTATAGATAATTTCCTGATTCCCATATTTTCTCAAACCCCTGAACTGATGGTTTG